ATAATTTATTAAGTGTAGTGGGTTTGGAGGTATATATATATATAAGTATTATTGTTTTAATAAATTTATATGTATAGTTTAATTTTATATGACCTAATTCATATTAAATGTAATTTACTATACATTTTTTATTATATAAAGCTTTAACTACTTTTAATTGATGAGACTATGTCTTGTCTCTAAAATTGCACTGCTGTCAATGGCTACATGAGTCACGTCAGGAGTTGCAATTTGGCACAGAGTATTTGGTGCCCAAATCATGCACACATAAAATAAACCAGACTTGTAGGTAGTCAAGAGACTGAGAACTGGGTCAAAAGAAAATACAAAATGTTGAGACTGTTTCTACAAACAGGCGTGAGTGCAAGATTTGTGCATTCATTACTCGTGCTCTCCGAGACATAGTCTCGTCCCAAAAATGGCTTTGCCATTTTACTTATTGTTTCATAACAATTTGTTATACCAAAGTCTTAGCAACTTATAAAATTTATGTTATATTTATTTTATTTTGAATGATTATAAGTTTTTTATAATTTTTCATAGCATTAAAAATTAATTTAATGTTAACTAATACCAAAAGTGATATGACAATAAATCTTGCAAATCAATTAATTAAAACACTTAGCATATAATATTTTTAAAAAATCATTGCTTGATAGTGTCTCATTTATAGATGTATCATGTTGATCTTTTATATTTAATAAATTATCATAAAAAATGATGTCTTGCAGACAGTATAGCACTTTGTCTGATGGTCATTACACTGTTTTTTAATGTTAATTGTTAAATCATTATTGGAATATGATTGTGGTAGTTGTGAATATTAGCAATCCACTCAATGTGGTTTAACTCATCATCAAGTGCCTCTCAAGTGTGATCCATTTCATTATAATAGCCGTGTTTAAATCGTTAGTCAGAAGAGCGTATACTCTTCATCCACGAGAGGCACTTGATGAGGAGTTAAATCATTATTCTTATGAAAAACCTCAATTTGTTCAGATTTTTTTTTTTAGTGTGGTTCTGATTAAGTTAAACAATATTAATCATTTACACAATACCCAATAATATTTTCAACTATTAATGTTTAGCCAAATACCAAAATTTTCCTAAGTCTATAGTTTTAATTTTTATGTTAATGTTTTATTACATCTACTAGATCATTTGGTTATATGTCAGAAAATTCTTTAAAAATCCAATGAAAGATTTTCTGTAAGAAATGTTTTCAACTTTTCTAAAGAAATTGGAAGACAAAGTAAATTTTATAATTTTTCAATTGAATTTTAACATGAATACAAATTTAGAATAGTTAAATAAATTTGTTACAGAAACTTTTCTTACTGAATTTTTAAAGTTTTTGTTTCTATATTATATATGTATATAAAATCATTGTTATTACTAATCAACTTAATTATCACTTAGAAGAAATTTTCTAATGTTGAATCAAAAGTTTTATAAAGGAGTTTTGAAAAACTTTACATACATTTATTTATTTATTTTATAAAATAAATTATATTGTACAGTTTATATGGAATCAGATTTTTATGAATGTCTATTCTCTCTGTATAATTATTATAGAAATAGGCATTACCTAATTAGAAAAAATAAGGTAAAATATTCAATCTAAGTATAATATACATATTATAAGTTACTTGCAAGAATGTGTATAATTATATAATTAGTGTTATCAAATTTAGAAGCTTTGTATTAAAAATGTGATATAAAATGTACCCTGGCCCACCTTTTAAATGATCTGACACCTATTACAATGAAGCTTGACATGATATTACACTGTTTATAAATTATTATTAATTTAAATAATTATGCCAAGGATATATATAAATAATGAAAATGAATAGCTTTGGAAAAATATGTGACATAGTATATATGTATATATATATGATTTTAAAATGATAATAATACATTTGAAATTTTCCTAAATTTTTTCTATGTATATTATTTTAAATATGTTTTTGACTTGGGATTTCAGAAATTATATTCTGTTTACTTTTTGTTTTAATTTGCTTTTACTCACATATTAATGATATATTCAATTAATTAAACTTGAAATAATTCAAACTTTAATTTAATGTATACATATTTATTTTCTAATATATTGTAATTATAAAAAATTGTATGTTTTTGTTCGTATTAAATGTATTTCAAACTCCATAAATGAATTATTAATAAATATAAATTAAGATCCATTGATTATAATAATTAAAACAGTTTATAACATAAAGCATTGAAGAATTGAAATTCATTTGAATAATCCTTTTTTTAAAAATTTCTTTTATAGGCTAATATGTCTCCAAATCTTTCTTCTGCTCATTTTTCACAGAACAGATTATTATATGAACAAGTGATTTATAATTTATTAAGTGTAGTGGGTTTAACAAGAATTATTAATCCTAGCTATATAAAATCAAGGTGAGAAATACTATAAAATCAGAATAGATATTTTAATGCCAAAGTTTGTTATATTAATTGCATTTAATATTAATGCAAAATATTTCAGAATAAATTATTAAAATATTTTATTGTCAATATATTTATAGATCTGAAAATGAAAAGGTTATGCAAGTGTCTTCAGCTGATATTTATGTATTTTCTGATTTATGTGCATCAAAGTCTTGCCAAGAAACTTGTTCATCTTATGTTAGTTTTTGAAAATTTATTTTAATTTATAAATTAGCAATTTTTAAAATTTATTTTATTGAAATAATATTTGCTTTAAATTTTAAAACATTTATTATTATAAAATATTTGGATAATTTTTAGATTTGTCGTCTTTGTAAACGTTGTCTCAGCATAGAAGAAGAACAAATATTTAAAGATGCATATCTAGAACATGTTAATAGAAAAAGTTGCCTTAGAATTCTGCCACCTCAAACAGTAGGTATAATGTATAAAAACAATATAATTACTATTTAATAAATAAAAAGTCTCAATATTAAGTTTACATATAACTTACCCAGTATATAACTTTTTGAAATATTTGTTTTATGATGAAAGTTGTTAATTTAAAACTGTTAATTTAGTAAATCAATTTCATTAGATTATAGTATAATTGTAGTTTTAACTATCACACATTAATAATAACATTGATAAAAACAAACATATTGCTTGTTAATCACACTTTAAATAAATCAATCCTCTTTTTGAATATTTTCAAAGTAGAAAAATATTTAGAAAGTAACTTCTTTACTTTNACACTGACACACTTATTTAATTTTAGTTTTGTTTTGGTTGCTATGCCTTGACTCTGGTCCGGCATAGTACACAGCCACCGGTGTGAACCGAGTAAAACCCACTAAACCCAACATAATAATAAACAGTAGTGACATACCATGGATTGAAAATACAATCAAAGACAGATACACACAACTTTTTGTAAAACTCATCCCTACCCTTGAAATTAAATTTTTGCCATTTTTTAATAATAAAATATACCAGATGGCATCACACACGCAATTGTAAATGTTGCCAAAAGTTAAGCAACTCGTTGTACATATTTGTAATGGAAATTATTTTCTGCATGTCATGAAATGTCATCACATAATATCATATTTGGTTGCATTTAGACTGATAAATACCTCTCTATACAGCATTGAACAGAGTTATTTCAATTACAATCATCTGGTATTAAAATAAAATTTATATTAAGCAAACAGTTCTTAAAACTATTTTTATTTTTATTTGAAATTCATTGTGCTTTAATTTTAATATAAAATAAGATACTACACACTGAATTTTTAATTGCAGACACAAAATCTATTGGATGTGAATAAAGAATTTGAGCATCTGAATGAAAGAAATCAGCTAATGGCTTATTGGTTTAAAGGAAAATGTTTAAATGATATAACATGGTGTAGTTAAGTTTATATATAATTAATTATAAGTAATTATAATTATAGGAAAATTCAGAAATTTTAAAATAATAAATGGAGAAGTACAATAAAGAAGCACAAAAGTATCAGTACAAAATAAGCCTTAAGATTTTTAGTAGAGTTACTAATTCTGTTATTAAAATTAAATGCAAATGCTCATAGAATATAAAATTTAAAAAAAAAATAAAGAATAAGTATGAAAGACTAAATAAATATAGAAGTTACTAATTCTTTGCAAATATCAATGTAATTTGTCTAAATAATTATATTACAAGCATATTTTTATTCTTTTAGAGTAAATAAAATTCATTTCATACATCTTTATTTATATTGATATAGGGACAATGAAATACTTTACCTAATTCATCTGATTAAAACTTTTGGATATTGATTTCTGTTCTTTGATGTAAAACATTAGTTTAATATTTTATCATCATTAAAAAAGTGGTTAAAAAGTATTTAATAAAAATTTTGTGGTGGTTATTTTTAAGAAATGACATTATTTATTGATCCATGTTTAAAGTATAAATATAAAGAATTATTCAAAAATTTATCATATATTCAGTTAATATTAAATTCATTATAATTGTTTGCCATTTATATGTTACTGTAAATGCTCGAATTATGGTAAATCCTAAGATCTTCCAGTAAAACCTAAGATTTACCAAATCTTTGTGGTAAAAGTCAGAAATGTTCTGCGTTCGTCATTAATTTTGAACTTTTATCAGCATTTACTCGGTATATCTTAGGTTTTACCTCAGAGACATGGTAAATGTTGAAAAAATAGTCCCCGATTTTCGCACTACACCACACCGCCGCATTCCATCATTTGACACGTTAGAACACGCACGTTAATTCTAATCTTGTTTGAGATTTCTCTGTCTAAAAGTTATTTATGAATCAAGATGAGTGTGAAATGGAGATTTTATGAAATAATGGATGAGCTTGTTGCAAGCAAGAAAGATGATAAGTTCTCTTTCAAGCAAATATGCAAGGTGTTTGGAGGAAGTAAAAGCTGCAAAGAACATGAAAAAGAAACAAGCTGTTCATTACAGGCATATAAAGCGTTACAACATTTTGACTATAGGCGGCAAAGAAAAACTAATTGCACTTATAAAGGAGGAGGATGGAGAAATAAGGTATTACATTTGTTATGAGGACATATTCAACATTCTCGAAGAAACGCATGTTGCTGTTGGCCACAGTGGAAGGACATGGATGCTTAAGGAATGTAACCGCAAGTATAAAAATGTAACAGTTGAGGCTACTATGACATATTTGAAGCTATGTCAACCTTGCCAAAAGAAACAGAAGACTTTGAAAAAGGGCATTGTCGTCAGACCTATACTTCATAGTGAAATGAACTCATGCTGTCAGGTTGATCTAATAGATCTACAAAGTACCCCAGATGGAAATTATAAATTTATTTTAGTTTACCAAGACCATCTTACCAAATTTGTGATCTTTCATATGCTTCAAACTAAACACGCCATAGAAGTTGCATATCATCTTTTGGATATTTTCACCACTTTTGGAGTGCCGAGCATCCTTCATTCCAATAATGGCTGAGAATTCTGTAACCAAGTTATTGAGAGTTTATGCTCCATGTGGCCAGATGTAAAAATCTTGCATGGAAAGGCAAGACAGTGACTTTGGATCAGTGGAACATGCTGATCAAGACATAGAAAATATGTTGAGCACATGGATGGAAACCAATCAGTTATCAAAGTGGTCAGAGGGTTTAAGATTCATCCAGGTGAAAAATAGAGCATATCACGAGGGAATCAAATGTTCTTCCTACGAAGCAATGTTTGATTGTCCAATGAAAATGGGCCTTGCAATTTCAGCAACTCCTAGTGATATGATTAAAGTTATAAGATCTAAAGAAGATTTAGAGAAGTTGTTGCATGTACATGACAATACGGAACAAAATAATGACGTCAAAAATGCAATCAAACTAGATAATGAAGAAAGCATTGTTGAAAATGAGTCAGAAGGGGATATAGACAATAGCACTGTCAACGATAAAACACAAGAAGATGAAATAATTATTACTGAGAAGATGAAGGTGAAGCAAATAACTGATGATTTCAATGTAACGATTCAGAGAGATACCGATTCAGAGACAGAAAACACGATTGAGTCTTAGGAAGTTCTTGTAACTATAGAGCCAATACCAAAAAAGATAGAATCTTAGTCACTATAAGAAACAACACAAAATTGACTTTGGAGAAACAAGCTGAAAAAATGAAAGCCATATCTGTTGATAAATATCCAAATGTGAAAATTGGCCAAAATGTAAGACTGAAAGTGCCTGAAATTGACAAAGCTAAAACCAACCCAAAAAGCATTATTTGCAGTTGTAATAGATGTAAATGAGTTTTACCAACTAGGTACCAAAATTGGAGTACTAAAGCAGCTTTATATACAAAATCAATTTAATCTCATGCCCTGAAGACTTTATCAAGATAGAAGTTGTTAAAGATAAAGAAGTGAGACTTCGAGAAGTTGTCGCAAAATTGTCTTTGACCAGAGGACAAGGTTTCGAGAAATGCAACTGCCTAAAAAAATGCATAACAAAGAAGTGTGCTTGCAAGTCATCAGGATTACTTTGTAACTCTAAATGCCATGATAGCTCTCCATGTTGTAACAAGTAAAATCCTTTTTTTNATACAATTGTTAAAATTCTCTTTTTAATAAAAATTAATTAAAAATACAATATAAAAATAAAATTATTACACAAATATTCCTTATAAAAATATATTTACATTTTAAAAGTTCAGTATTTAATTTAAATATTTTAATATAACAAATAAACCAATATTTTCACACCACTGATACTAAATATTATGCATAATTGTATATATTACAATTAGTTCATAATATCATTTTACATTAATGTAGTAATGCATTAGTTTCTGATCACAGTAGATATAAATAAAAAAACTGTGCATTAATTAGTCATTACTGATAATGACTATAATTTAACAGAACCTCAAAAAACTAATTTTCCAAAAATACATTAATTAATTAATTAATAAATATGACAATACTGACACTATCTCTATAAAACAAAATAGCAATATATATATATATATATATATCAAATTTTTCTATCTGTGTATATATATATATATATATATATATACACATTTAGAAAAATTTGATATATATATATATATATATATTGCTATTTTGTTTTATAGAGATAGTGTCAGTATTGTCATATTTATTAATTAATTAATTAATGTATTTTTGGAAAATTAGTTTTTTGAGGTTCTGTTAAATTATAGTCATTATCAGTAATGACTAATTAATGCACAGTTTTTTTATTTATATCTACTGTGATCAGAAACTAATGCATTACTACATTAATGTAAAATGATATTATGAACTAATTGTAATATATACAATTATGCATAATATTTAGTATCAGTGGTGTGAAAATATTGGTTTATTTGTTATATTAAAATATTTAAATTAAATACTGAACTTTTAAAATGTAAATATATTTTTATAAGGAATATTTGTGTAATAATTTTATTTTTATATTGTATTTTTAATTAATTTTTATTAAAAAGAGAATTTTAACAATTGTATTAATATTTTTATAATTAATCAAACTGTGTACTTCTAATTGTTAATTGTTTGTATTATTAAGTTAACGATATATTCATTGCATTTTTACATACTGTACATGTATTTAACATTTTTGGTTATAATTGTTAAAAGTTATATATTGAAAAGACTAATATTTTTATATTTAATTGCAAAATAAAAAGTTTTTAAAAAATTCGTAAGTAATTACATTACATTAATATTTTAAATTGTATGCTTTATGATAATTTATTCTATTGTAATACAAAATTTAAAAAAAATAACATACAGGGTAGTCATAAAATAACTTGATGAATTAACAATGATATTGGGAATGTTGAAAGAGAGGAATCTGTTGAAACTTTTGCAGGATAAATACAAGGTGACATGCACTCGCAATACATGAAAACAGTGGTAGAACACAACAGTTATGGTTGATATAGGCATGATGGAAAACAGCATAATGCATTGAAATGGTATGTGTAAAATGAAAAACAAGAGATATGATGTTTGAACAACGGAAAGCAGGTGAGCTAATAACAAGTATTACAAGTATTAGAAGACCAGTACACATTTGTGGATGAAGCGGCAGCATTTTAGCTGAAGCTTGCTGTAATGTCAGCTTGCAGGGTCTAAAAGCATCTGTTGAGCAGAATTCAAGAAAGCATGCATTTTCACCAGTGGCGTGCCGTCCTTGGAAGCCGTGGAAGCCCTGCTTCCTTATATTTTCTAAAATATGAAAATATTTGCACAATACAGTTGTCCCTCGATAATCCAACAGGTCTGGGACCAAAGGTGTGTTGGATTACAAAAAGTGTCCGGATTACCGAAAATAATTACATATTTCGCATTGTTTTGCTAGCAGTAACTTACAATATTCTCTACTCCAACTGTTCGAACAGAACTGTTCACATAAAACACACGAAATGTGTGTCATCGAGTAAGAATTGGATGGGGAGATTCACATCGCGACATGCTTCTGTGCAAGCAGACACATAACGGGGACGGGTACCTTGACGAGAGGTGCGTCGGACTACTGAGCATGTCGGATTAAAAAACGTCGGACTATCGAGGGACAACTGTATGTAAAAAAACAAAGTGGCTATTTATACATACAGTATGTATATGCAATTGACTATTTATACATATGATATGTATACTGAATTGGCTATTTAACCCTTTTAAAGCCATGATGTAAAGATGACAGTTTTAATGTTGTTTATAATTTATGATATCCTAAATTTCGGAATGAACTGTTACTTTGACAACATCATTTACAACTAAATGTAATGAATGAGATGCACAAGATACAAAAAACCTCTAGAATTTATTTTCCTTAAATTTATATTTATATATCCATTGACATGAAAATTTGTCCTTCCACTTCTTTCCCAAGACTACAAATATGCAAGTACAAAGTAATCGGTTTCAACTTATTTTTACTTAAGAAGTAGTTAAATAATGAAGAGATTAGGGAATTAGGGACAAATAATAAGGTGACTGCGTCGTTTAAGTAAATATCCAATTGGCAGCAGCAAACGTGTAAGGTTAACCCAGAAGGTCATCGGCGAGGGTAAAACGAAGTCCCGTGATCCCCCATAAGTCCGAGCGACCCGACGAGAAATGACCAAAAAAGGCAATGAATTTTTCTACGGCAGGGGAGACGGTAATAAATCAGGGAGAACTGTCAAATTACGTCAACGAAATCCCAGATTTTTCCCACAAGAAGTGGGTATATAAAGGGGTCAGATTTGCTCTTCCGGGCGATTAGCCGAGGAGCTAACGCCGAAGCAACCCCTCCGAACAGCTGAGGAAGACCTCTATATCGTCATCGAAGACCTCTACCCCGTCCATCGCTGCCTATCACCATCCAAGGGAACTTCGATTGGAAACCAAAGGGAACTTCAATGGCCGATCCCAGTGCGTCCTA